TAGGAGACAAGAGCAAGGAGTAAAAGTACACCAAAAATTGGAAGAAAAATAGGCAGAATGGCAAGTAGGCTTCAGGAAGAGAGATTAGAAGGCCAGATAAAAGTGGCTTTCTTTTCAGTAATCATAATTCTGAATGGGGAAAAATAAATGGCAGTTTGTGTCCTGCCTTCATATTCATCTCCCAGGATACATGTGTCAGCATCCCTCATTGTGTTGGAATTTACCACAACAGAGTGCAGACACAACCTCCAGCCCTTTCCCATCAGGAGCAAACCTTTCATTCAGTTCCATAAGTCTACTAACTCTCAATTAGAAAACACTTTCAGTGACTCATCTCCCAGTCACTCCCCAAGTGTAACCTTTTCAGTAATCCATTCACACAGAGCCTGTAAAGTCTGTAAATCCTCTTATCTTTAACTAGTCAAGAAAAAAAGATAAAACCACTGAAATAAAAAATATTTTAATATTTTCTAAAGAACTTTCTGGATCTGTCAGGTAGTGTGTAACTGAATATTGGCAAAGAGAACATTGTGGTTTTTAAAAACCCAAATACATGAGCCAAAACAGTCCTTTTCCTATTCCTCATCTATATATAATGATCATACTTACAGTTCATCTACATAAAGATCAGAACCCTCCCATTACCTATCCATAGGTCACACACAAAAAATTATGATCTCACCTCTTATCAACGATCAGTAAAAACACACTCTCCAGCTATCATTTCATAGGAGTATCCACTTTAACAGATTGGCTGAAGAAGCAAGAGTAGCCACTCATGAGATAAACTCAGAGAGTAAGAGTAAAAGTTAATCTATGTAGAATTTTCTCCTACATTCCTAGTTTTCAAATGCTTTTTAAAATATTTTAATTCATTCAAAAGGCAAGGATATATACATCCTTATATGTGAATTTATACTAACGATGTTAACATTTAATCAACTAATTGATGGAATTTTCATTGACTAGTCAATTAGTGGATCCATGGGGAAGTTGCAGAGGGGTTAGCTCCCAGCCCCAGGAGCTAACCCCACTGCGGCCATGCCTTTTAAGCGTATTAAGAACCTGCCTACTCTTAATACATTGAAAAAGCAGAAGCGCAGCAGGGGGACCCAGTGTGAACTGGGACAGCACTTCTGCTTTTGAAATGTATTAAGAGCCAGCACGCTCTTAATACATTTAAAAAGAAGAGGCACAGTGTCTGGGACTGGGCTCACACCCAGTCCTCACTACTCCTTGCCTCTGACAGAGACGGTGCTCAGGGGAACAGACAGAGGCAGTGTGTATGTGGGGAAAGAAGGGGAAGTGACTAGTTGACTATCCGATTATGCTTATCGGCAGGGCTCGCCAAGTGGCGGCAAGCCCCATTTGCCAGCTGCGCAGTTTTGCGCAGATCGCTCTGCGCCAGCTCTTCCGGGTTGTAATCTACTCGCCACGGGCAAGGAGATTACATTATTTGTCGAGCCCTGCTTATTGGATAGTCAACTAGTCACTTACATCCCTAATTTATACTTCACTCTTTACTCATTCAGTACACTAAATGCCTCCACAATTATAAATGTGAATGAGACAATCACCGTGTTCTCAAATGAAGTCATCCAGAAAAATAAAAACAAAAACACTTATCACCTATGGGTGAGCACTTTTTACAAAGCAATCACTATCTGATGTGCTCATCCTCAAAATATGCACACTGCATTCAAAAGACAAGCCTGAGAGCTTACATTCATAACTTTGCTACACACTAAAATTCAATGACTAACCCCTCCGCCCCGATTTTATTTCTTATTACAATAATTTATAACATTAAAACCTACCCTCTCCCCAGTCATCTTCTCCCTATGGAGAGGTGTTAACTGGCAATTTCATGTAGAATGGTCTCTTGAAGTGTGTGTGTAAACTACTTCAGCTAAACAATCTGTTCCACTTTGGGTTTAGCTGTGACACCCCCAAGGCCTGGTCTGTCGGTATGTTGCTCTAGAGTGTGAAAAATGCACACCTCTGAGCAGTGCGGTTAAACCAACCTAACCTTTGCTTGTAGACAGCACTAGGTCAACCCTTCCACCAGGGTAGTTAGCATCTCCACTGAAGTGCTACAATGGCAAACTGCAGCACTGAAACATTTTAAGTGCAAAGAAGCCTTGACTACATTTCCCAGAACTGAAGAAAAGCTATGTGTAAGCTCACTCAAACTTCTGTTGGTCCATAGAAGATACTACTTCACCACCTTGTTTCTCTATATCCTGGGACCAAGATGGCAATAGCAACATTGAATACTTTATTTAGGTCTTTTTGAAGGTCTGTCTGCCAATTGCACATGGAATGCTTTGTTCATCATATACCTTACACTGAATCTATTTAAAAAAATGCTCCCTAGCATTTTAGAGTTTTCAATTATCAGTTTTGCTAGTATGGTGACTGGGCCTCCCCCTTGGTGACAAAAAGG